CGAGCCAAGCCTAGCCTATACGAGCCGAGCCGAGCCGAGCCTACGAATCTATACGAGCCGAGTCGACCTGAGCCGAGCCGATGTGGGGTCGGTGTGGGGTTGGTGAGAGGTCGATGTGGTGTCGATGTGAGGTCGATGTGAGGTCGATGAGAGGTCGATGAGAGGTCGATGTGGGGTCGATGAGAGGTCAATGTGGGGTGATTGTGGGGTGGATGTGGGGTGGATGTAGGGGGGATGTGGGGTGGATGTAGGGTGGATGTCAATCTACACTAATATAAAACCTATCTACACTAGGATCTACACTAGCTAGAATCTATACTAGATCTACTATCTATACTAGATCTACTATCTATACTAGATCTACTATCAATACTAGAATCTACACTAGAATCTACTAGAGATGTGCAAATTATTGTATATATATAATGGTCTTGATATTTAGTAGTTGATTCTTGTATGACTGACTCGACAATTATGCAGAACACAGTCCTCTATTGTTTCAAGTGACGGGTGTTTCTATTGAACAAATATATAGTGACAATCAAAACATCGTACTTAGTTTAATAATGAAAAGAGCTGTAACTAAACTTATTTTGTATTCACATGTATTGAGCGTTTTTATTAATAAATTTTAAATTATTTTAGAAAACGTGTCTGTCGTCGTTCCTTGGGCAAGTCATCTAATTGTTTGTTTTTTGATGAGTCATTTTCGTAGAACTCAATTAGGGTGAAACAAAAGCATAAAGTAAAAAGAGTCTAATCCTTTAACAATAGGCTTTGTGACAGAAAAACTATATTTTATGAATAATTAGATCAGAACATTTTATTAGGATTAAACTTTGACGTAAAATATAGGATGTGGTGCAATCCAGTCAACTAAAAAATAGATATAGCCGACCACCCCTCCCCCTATACGGAGCCTTACTGTAGAATACGTTACCGTTATTACGAGTCCGGAGTAGGGTCTGGGGGAGAGCACCGGTTCGCACCGCGGTGGCACCGGGTCATAAATGTGTTTATGCGTTAAAGATTGGGCTTCAGAGGTCCTCTATTTTATAAATGATTTTGTTAGAAGAGCATCGATTGTCTGGAAAAGATGTTGTTGTTTTGTTCAACAATGAAGAAGACAATATCCAAGCAGGTGCCGCGAGAGCTATAATACAATCCAGCCAACTAAAAACAGACATGACTAAAAACACGGGGTAGTAAGAATAGCCATGACGTCACCTCTGTAAGGACGCTGATTGGGGGGGGG